ACTTGATCCTTTTGAGGCTCGCTTTTAAGATACTTGGGTGGGACCAGGGCAGCCGTTAAGTCTATTTTCTTGTTACTGAGCTAGTACCCTCTGCACTGCACTGCGGATCACGGGTGGATCACAAATCCATTCTGGCTCATGGGAATGTAGACTGTTCCTGGCCTTGTGTGAACTCCAGGGGTCATTTCCTCTTCTCCTTTTGGGTGGTGCTCTTCCCCACCCTCAGGCAGTTTCCTCAGGTACACGTGCCGGTCAGTATCCAGGGGACAGTCTGAGAGGACCCCGCTGCAGGTCTCCAGAACTGGCTCTCTGTGCAGCCCTCTCTCCTGGGAACCCCAGCTCCCCTGGCCGTCCTACATAATTAGTTCACTGACATAAGGTCAGTGCCTGCTGGGTTCTACCTGGGTCTCCCCTTCCCTGGGCCGAGGCCAGGTGGTCTCGCTCCAGGTCTCACTCAGGGATCACCGTCCTTCTCTGCCTAGTGTCTGATGTCTGAAAACCATAGTTCTGTCTATATTGCCAGGGTTTGCTTGTTCAAATAGGAGGGTTCCCCAGTCCTGTCATCCCATCTTATACTAGTACAAGTGCCCTCTGTCCTTTCTGTTCTCTTCCTTCTGATGGCTCCTCTTTGTTGTTTTCTTCTGCACTCTGGGAGAATTTATCAAATTTGTTCCCACACCATCATCCATCTTTCCAGCATCTGTTCTGCCCTGCGGTGAATATGTTGCTACGGCTATGGTTTCATCCTTTTGTCCTTTCATTTTAGCCTGTTGTCCCCTTAAGACTTTTTTATTCCAAGTCAAAGGTGCAATTCATTGCATTTTCCTAAATATGTGGTTTTCTCCCCTGGAAGTTTCTTTCAATCCTACATTCCATTTCCAACATCCTGTTGATCCTGTCTGCTCAGTATTTCTTCTCTGCAGAATTTTTTCACAATCTCACATCAAAAAGTGAACTTGTTAAAGCAGACTGTTCAGACTTGTATCTGCCAGTTGATGGCCGGCAGTTTGCTTACCTGTGTGGCAGCAGATGCCCTCCTCAGCCGGTCTTGCTGGCCAGCATGCCCAGCTTCCAGTGACGTGACTGTCTTGAGCAGACTTGCCGGTGTACTTGTGCTCTGAAGCTCCTGCTAGACTTACTCAGCATAAGGGGCTGCACTGTAGTAAGCTCTTCAGTTATTGTGGGGTGGCTGAGGCCATGTGCTCCTTATGCCACCTGACACCTGGGACGGGCAGGAATACATATGGAAGCCTGGGCAGAGTGAGGATACCCCAGGAACTGCCCATCTGACTGTAAGACAGGCTTCACAGCGCTGACAACACATGAACTGAGTCTTGAAAGGAGCCCCAAGAGGGATGTGGACCTCATCACAAGGCACGGAAGCACTACTTTGAGGCTGGCAGAGTGGACAGATGACCAGTAACATGCACTCACACGCAAAGCACAGGGGGCTTATTCTGGAGGCAATGGGAAGACATGGCTTGGTGAAAGGTTGTTTTAGAAAGTCCTCTGACAGCAAGGTGGGGAGGATGTGCAGAGGCCATCTCTTTGTTCTGGTCCCACCGGGGTGTTGGCTAGGTCTTCCTCCATTCTGCTGCTCTTCCTGCATCAACTGTGGTTTTTGTTACACATCACTGACTGGTCTGGCAAGGTGCACAACCACCACGGTGGGACCCTTGCTCACTGGACTCCACCTGCTCCCGATCCGTTGAGAACCAGCCCAGGGAGACAGGTTTTCTCTTCCCTAACTTGAGGCTGAAACCCCTTAGGAATAGGGAAAAGGCTCTTTACCCATGGTGCTGCACCCACCTTATGGCTCCTCAACCCCACCCTGCTTGGGAGTGGGGGTGGGAAGGAAGGACACAGGTGAACAGGGCTATTGAGGTTGGAATGAATTTTTAGAGATGTTTGGGAAGAACTGACGAGCACCAAATGGTGCATGGGAGCGATGAGTGGGGAGGCAGGTCAATGGAGTCTGACACTGAGATGATAAGAACCCAGCACTGAAAACCACAGCACTGGTGAATCAGTCCTGAGAGGCCAGAGATGGAGCGGGCTGCTCGCAGGTATAGGAGTGGGAGGAAGCACTGCTGGGTGTGAGCTATGGACCAAAGGGTAGATGCGGAGGCTGCACAAGGTGCCACGCCATCCCCAGCTAGTCTTTCCTGGCCACTGGCCCCTGACAAGCATTTACCCCACCCTCCCTGCAGTATCGGGGGCCCTGTCCCCAGTCTCTCCTCCAGCACTGGGAACTCTTGAGCAAGCACTGCTTCTTCCAGCTGGCCCTGACATAAGCTAAAAAGTGAACTTAGTGAAGAACTCTGGCTCAGTGAACTCGGCAATGAAAATGAACGAGCCCTAAAATGGTTCTTTTTTTAAAAAAAAGATTATAATTCAGTTCTTTATACAGCTTAACATGAATAAATAGACATTCTTAACAAGGCCAGGTCCCCAAATGCCTTCATCACTGGGCTTTCTGAAGAACTTTTTCAAACTACAGTTCTTTCAGTAGATCGGTTTTGGTAACCCATGGAAACCCAGGGCATGAGTGGCGCCTCCCAAGGGCAACATGGAACCCTCTGAATTAGCTGCTCCAAGCTGTTACTTTGTTTAAGGGAGGGCTATGGGAGGGAGGAAAGGGAAGTGACAGGTGCTCCCATTTTACAAGTTCTTTGCCAAAGGAAAAGTAAAATGTTATTTTGCTGAATATTAGCATTTTACTAGACATATTTTGAAGAATAATTGAATGTGTTGCAAACCTGACTTTCCAAGGGGAAACATTTTTAAGTGGATGAAAGTGAAAACACTCCTGAACAGACTGTACCAGCTGGAAAAGAGGAGTCTTGTTAGACTGCAACTGGTGGCTAACCCATTTTACAGCTGGTTGGAATTTTACATTAAAAAAATTCTGGTTGATTTTGATAAATCTGCAAAAAGTCTGATTTCACAGGAATTTGTGATTTTTTTTCACATTGACTTAAAGAATGTGAGGAGTAACAGCAATCCTAGGGAACAGCGGGTGTGTCCTCTGAACAAGTGTAACACACCTTAGTGATCACTGCTGCCTGGGAAGGATGCTGTTGTCTCCTGCACCCATGACGGTGTGGAAGTCCGGGGGACTAAGGGCAGAGGAAAAATATGTCTGGACACTCTGAAACATTTAAACTAGTAAATACTAAGGTATATGTTCCTTTGAAAGACTATACATTCAAGGGGCGCCTGGGTGGCTCAGTCGTTAGGCGTCTGCCTTCGGCTCAGGTCATGATCCCGGGGTCCTGGGATCGAGTCCCACATCGGGCTCCCTGCTCGGCAGGAGGCCTGCTTCTCCCTCTCCCACTCCCCCCGCTTGTGTTCCCTCTCTCGCTGTGTCTCTCTCTCTCTGATAAATAAAATCTTAAAAAAAAAAAAAAGACTATACATTTAAAATACTTTAGCTACTGCAAATAGGCTGAACCAGCTCTCTACAAAGTTTTCTCACGAACTTCTGTACTGCAGGGACTGCCCTAGCAGGTGCACAGCCTGGCTTCATCTGTAGTCGGTAGAAATCATGAACAGCCCTCTAAGGCTTTCAGTGCAGGTCAAACAGGGGGTCTTGTTAAGCAGAACCCAAGGCACTGCACCCCGGGCCAGAGCTCCACAACAATCCCAATACAGTGGATGAAAATAACAGACAATGAGCAAGGGACACAGCCAGATCAGCACTTCACACTGGAGTCACACACTCGCCCTGGCTCCTTAGGAAGACTGCAAAGGGAGATAACTTGCAGGTGGTGTGTTTGAGGGAAGGTAAGAGGGAAGATGTGAGCCTTTTCCTTTCGACAGGTCTACCCTGGAACTGTTTCCTTCTGAGTGTGCTTGAAAAACATGCTGCTCACCTATCAAATTCTAAGCAGCAGAGCTATGGGGACGCAAGTGGACATTGGAGAAGTCCCGGAGCTTCACATCCCCAGGGCCTGCTCCACTCCTGTCTGGCTCCAGGGCTGGCTCAACATACCCATCCCTGGCAGATGGGAAATACCAACCATTATCGGGTTGGTGGAACACATGAACTAGAACCAGAAGTGTTACTTGGACCTGAGTGGGGAGGAGACCCCAAGACCCCAAAAGGCCTGGAAGTCAGGGTTCTGCAACCACTAAAAGATGCCATGGGCCCCACTGGCCAAGTAGGCAGCACAGTATCAGTTCTCCACTGTGACGGGCCAGGCTGGGTGTGTTCTGAACAAGATGGGGAAGGGGCAGGGCTCTGAGGGATTTCCATTGGACTGAAAGGGATGATCTCGTCATGCGGAAAGGTCATTTCTGAAGAATTACTGATCTCTGATAAGCGAAGTACTTCTCTGCTGTCAGAATTCACGACAGCTGTCCCTTCCACCCCTTTACCTACAATATGCATTATTTCCGTTCAGCTGTGGGCACTGAGGTCACCTCCTCTCCGCCATCTGCACCACCAGCTGTGCAGCCTGGGAGCAGCCCGGGCAGCTGTGAGGCCCACCATGACTCAGGCCTGGGACTGCCCAGGCAGAGAACCACGTGTCCTGGGTCCCAGGGGCAGAACTCAGGTGTGTGGGCAGGCACCTAGCAGAGGCCAGCCCTGGGTCCAGCTGACCAGGTTCCTGTGACACTGGGCAGAGCTCCAAATAGAAGTGTGTAAGCTGCAGTGCCTCTCCCAGGCTTCAGGAGGGGAGGTTACTGTGGTCATCCTCACAGGCCCTGAGCCTCCAAGATCCACTGTGCCCTTGATCCAGCCCAACTCTTCCTGCTCTGTGCACCAGTGTGGACCATCAGTCAGGGCCCCCCTCAATCTAACGGGTACAATTCCCGATTACAAATGGGAAGCATGGCCTACATTCGTTCCCTGCTGATCTCCAGGAAGACTGATCTCATAGTCAGAGACTATATTATAAATTAAGAACAACAATCCAGACTGGGTAGATGGAAAGGGGGTGGGATCCAGAGGTCAAAGGAGGCTGTCAGTTAAACTTGAGTGTGCCGGGCAGGCAGCAGGTGAAAACCATACATTTATTTTGCATTTGATTTCACTCGTTCAGATGTCTAAATGCTGGAATAAATCCATCTGCCTCCTTAGCGTTCTTACTCGGAAGTGTATTGGCCTGACCGAATATGGCTATGTGCTGCTGCTGATTCCTGGCCCTCCACGCCTAGGAGGCGCCCCCAAGACCTGGAACCGCAGCAGACTCAGAAGGCCACAGGAATGGTCTCAGTGACATCAGACATTGGTGGGCTGATTCCCGAGGTTATCTGTCCTGTCCCTCAGGTCACGAGGGTCTGGCTCTCTGGCGCTGCCCACTGGCTCACAACCACAAGACTGCTGTGGAAACACCAAGCCCCCAGCTGCTCTGGGCTCCAGCCAGTTTCCTCTGGGCAGTATGTGAGAAAGGGCTCCCTGCCTTTTTTCTGTCCTTTTTCTTTTTCAAAAATCATCCAGATCTAGCTTCAAAATCCAAAACTTCCTCGCCCCATCTGGACCCAAAAGCAAGAGCTGATTTTTAAAAGCCAAATTCTTGTTTCATTTGGACAGAAGGAATAATGTGTCTTTCATGTTTTCTTTGTATTTCTCTTCAATAGTTGCTTGACCCAACATCTTTCTGTCTGCTCTATACAATGAAAATACAAACTAAATGAGAATAGAAAAAAATAATTAAAGCATTAAATTGTACAAATTACAAATCTGTTCCAAAATATACTTACATTAAATAAAATACGCATTTCAGTAAGAGATCTACAGTGAATGACTACGCATTCTGGGAAGCTTCACGACATCTAGGCAGGGCCAACATCCGTGTGAGGGGCTAAGAGAACTGGCATCCAATCACAGTATGCAGCGGGTTTCTCACCGCTCCTCTGCGAGCTACACTGAGCACGTCATCAGGATCACTTGTGCGGGGAAGGATTTTGGGAAAAGGGGAAGAAGCAAGCGCTAGCCTCAATTCTGAGTTCATTACAACTTCTCAGGAATCTCTCAATAGCCTATACAGTACAGTTTCCAAAAAGTAAACATGTTAAGGGAAGCAGACAACTCTTTAGAACCCCAAACACATTTTCTTGCTGTATTTATGTGGGACTCTCCATCTACAATGGGCAGCCGTGAAGAGGTTCTTCCTCGGGACAGCATGGTCACAGGATGTGGATGACCCTGTGGGTCTGAGGGGAGCGAGGACTAGGGAGGGGGGCTCCCTCTTGGTTGAGGTTGGAGACAAGCCTACAACACACAGTCCGCAGCCCCACCGTCTCCTCCTCCTATCATCTGGCGTAACGCTTAATGTAGTCTTCCACTTTATTCCGGAAGTCCTCCTGTGGAGCGAGAGGGATCAGGGAGAGAGAAAGAAGGGGGAGCGAGTTAGCGAGGGAAACAACACTTCCAGAACAAGTGGGACCCACCCGAGCCGAGGAGCCACTGTGAGCTCCCGAGAGCAACACGGAGGACCTGGCCTCCAGCCGCCCCCGCCTCAGCTGCTCCGGCTGCAGGACCGTCAGAGGCCCGAGGAGCAGAGCACCCTCTCCCTACCACTCCAGGTGCCCGCTGTGTGCAGGACGCTGTGTGCAGGACACGGGGCCACTGTGCCGGGAGGGCTGGGGGTGGGGACCCAAACACAGAAGAACTGAGTAGAAGGGAACCTAAGACCCTTCGTTTTGCAGATGGGAAGAGTGAGGCCCCGAGTGGTCAAGGTGGCAACGCAGGTCAGGACAGGGTTCTGGACCTCAACTGGAGATAAGTCGGAGCTGCTGTTCTCCAAAGACCCGTGTCCAGATCTGTCTTCCTAAAACAACCCCCCAGGCCCTGCTGCCTATTTAAAAGGTGCCCACTTTTCATGGTGAAGTGCAGCCCACCACCCGAGTGACCACCTTGCCCAGAAGCGGTGGGCTTGCTGCAGAGCTCCCCGCCCAGGCATCAAGCAGAGGCCACCTGGGCACCCAGCCTGATTCCTCTGGCGACAAGAGGCAGTGTGGCCCTTGGTGTCTCCAGGCCAGTATGGGCAGGAAAGTGCCACAGGTGTGCCCCTCAGGTCTGTTCTAACATTAGGACCTAAGTTCCTTGGCCTTGCAGAACTGGGCAAGGGCCACATGCGCCATGAGGGACTTGGAGCTTGCCCACCTCAGAACACCTGCATTCAGTGCTCAGGACACTGTGATGTGACAGGTGGAACTCAACCCTCTTACTCCTCCAACACGGATGCTGGGTCACTGACAGCCATGGGGTCACACTGCTTCAGTCCCATCACGTGACAGGTACCACCACGGGCCGCACGGTGCAAAAGAGCTCAGCAGAGCCCCTGTAGGCGCGGTGCTGGCTGCGCCCTCTTGTGGCCAGTCCTTGCCCGGAGTGGCGCCTAGAAGGGGGTGGCCACACTTAATTCACGTGGTGACCCTTCCAAGGTCAGGGTGGGTTCCTGGTTTTAAGGTCTGAAAATGGTTTGGTGGTTTGCTTGCCATCTCAGGTGAGGGAGTGGAGAGCTGCTGAGCCTGTGCTTGTGGACAGGACTGCGTTCAGAGGCTCCCACGAGCCCTGACTTGGCCATTTCCACAGTACCCAGAAGCCAACAGTACCGTCAGCGGCTAAGGAGCCTGTGGCCACAGGATGTGAAGACCCCACAGGCACTGCTGCCCCGTCCTGCCCTCAGGTGCTCAGTCTCACCCCGGACGAAGCCCAGGGCCCACGGCCCCCAGAAGCCCTCTGTGCTCAGGCTCCCTCCTCTGCCTGAGGGCCCACAGAGCAGGGCCCACGAAGACCACAGACTCTGGGGCCAGACTGCTTGCCTGGGTTCACATCTTGGGCTCTGCCCCTTCCTGGCAAGTCTCTTCCCTCCATGGTGGCTCTGCCTCCTCAGCAGCAGATCAGGGATGGTAAGAGTCCCTCCCTTGTGGAGATGTCAGGAGAACAAATGCACTCTGGGAGGCGGGTGGGACAGGGCCTGGGAGGGCCGCCCGAGACTGCCGCTGCTCTCACGTCACCGCCGTCCTGCACCCCAGCTCTAGTCACGCCGGTGTCCGTACTCCTCCCTCAATACCCTGAGCACATTCCAACCTCAGGGCCTTTGCACCACTGTAATACTCTCCAGAATACTCTTGCCCACTCTCCATTTGGTTCACATCAGATCTCTACTCACATCTTGTCAGAAAGGCCTTCTCTGAGCACCCAACATCAAACAGCAAGACCCATCACTGGCCCCCGCGGCCCCTCACGTTATGTTTGCTTATCTGAGCTCTGCCTCTGCCCACAAGCGTGGCCGCTCCATGGGGACAGGGACTGTCTGTTCATCACTCTATCCTGAGCATTTGCACCTCACCTGGCACTGAAGTGGCCCCAGTCAAACTTGGGATGAACCATGAGCACGAAATAAAGTAAGGAGAAAGTTCAGTAACTGTCATCATGACTCAGCATGAGGATGGGGTGGGGCTGGGGCACTTCTTAGAATTCATGTGGAGGCATCACTATCTGGAGGATTTTAGGTCCATCTTACTGGGGCTAACAGTTTATAAATGCAAGTCTTCCCCTTATTTCATACAAAGAGCAGGAAGCAACCTTCGAAGAAAAATAAAAGGATAGACAATTTATAACAGGTCTTTCTCCACCTGGCCCTCTAAGAGTGTACCCATCATTACTGATTTCTTTCCCTGACTCGGCTTACAAGACACATCGCTCAGCGGGAAGTCCATGTCAGGGACAGTGACAGGTGGAGCTGCAACGTGAATGGAGCTGCCTGGAAAGGGGCAGGGCGGGCAGTAGGGGGCAGGAACACACCTGCAGGGGCTTGTCATCGCAGTGGACAAACCAAGGCTCTGCGGGGTGGTGCAGGGGGCTGACTGCTGCGGGTGGGCGGGAGATGCCGTGAGAGCAGCCGCGGGTGCATCTGCGGAAGACCTCTGCTGCTACCAGCCCCTGTGCCTGACCAGAAGCACCCACTGACCCTGCAGTCCCACCACACGGCTCATTGGTCCCGCTGTGCCTGCCGCACGGTTTTGTGAGCCGGGGTACGTGCCGGGTGACGTGGTTCTCCCGGGGCCCGCTCTCTGGTTGCAGTAAACATCACACACAACACATTTAACACGCCCCCCCTCTGGCACACAGCAGGTCTCACGTAAACATGAGCACCTGCTCTTCAGCTCGGTACTGAGAACCAGGTCGATGGCATTCAGAACTTTACAGATTCAAGGGAGGTGCTGGGTAACGGCCTTGGGTGGCTGATTTCTGGGGTGGGGAGGATTCACAGGAACACGGTTCAGAAAATGAAACTTGAGGCTCTATGACTAAACCAGGTTAGCCCTGCAGGGCTGTCTGCTGAGGCCTAATGGCTAACTAGCCTGGCTCCAAGTGAAGCTGCATAACCTCGAACAGCCTTGTTCTGATCCCAGATGCCCAGACTGCTGCTCCAGCTCCTAACACCTTGTTCATGCACCTTTAAGGATATACGTAAAAGGGATATTTATTGCATTATCATTTGTAGTTGGAAAAAAAAAAAAAAACCATGGGGAAAACCTGAGTGCCGACCACTCAGAGAATGGTTGAAAAAAGTATGGTAGAGCCACTAAAAAGTTAAAAACAAAAACAAAAAAACTGAGAATTAATAATAAACAACAGGATCCCATTATTTTGGACAGAAACCCAGTGGGCTTGTGAGTGCAGAGGCACGCTGGATGGACCTGGGGGTGTGAATGCTGTATCCCCATACTGTTGTTAAGGCAAAGTAACAGCGGCCTGTTTTAAATCCCTCAGACTGAATTCTACTAGGAAATCACATCTAATAGAAACACTTCTGCCTGACCTTGGGTCAAATACTTAACTGAGACTACTCACATTTATCACAACATATTACTTACCAACTGCTTTCAATTCCAGGCGTGGACCCACCATTCTCAGCCTCGTATTTATCTGAGCAAGAGCTTGTAATCATCTTTTTACCAAACCCATCCACCTCGAACGCTACCACTAGCTTACCTTGTCCCTCAAATGATGTTCTGCAGCTTCAATATTCAGCGGATCATCAAAATTCAAAAGATCCTTAAAAAGAGAGAAACTCAAAGTAAACAATGGAAAGAATGTGTTTTTCGGCCGTCACAAGTCTTCATTTTATGAGCCAGATGACATAACTCTAATCAGCAAACAGGAGAAGCTAGAGAATGGAGAGATTCTATAACGGATCACGGTTCCTGGGACAGAAGCGCACAGTCTGTGTGGGTGTTTTCTCAATGTTGGTGAATGGCGGACTGAAAGATCATGATGTTTACATACAACTGTCCAAAGTTCGGTGAAAATGGAGGTTAGCGATCACATTAATTCCTAAAGCTATTATTGATAAAGAACCACTCTCATTATGAGCATTTCCAAATAAAAATCCCATTCTTTTTTCCTCAGAAATTCTTTTAATTTGTGATGAACATCTTTGCCTCTCTAAGTCTCTGGTTTCCATGCTGACCTTCACCAGATCTTCTCTTTACATTTTGTTATTCCCCTTCACAGCACTGCACTCATACCCAGCAGGGATGGCGTTTGGAGCCTGAGGGCGGACAGCGCCAGGAGGACCCTGTCCCCCAGGCCTTTCTACCTTAGAAAACCCGGGGGTGGGCGGTGGGGGGCGCCTGGCTGGCTCAGTCCTTGGAGCCTGCAACTCTTGATCTCGGGGTTGTGAGTTTGAGCCCCATGTTGGGTGTAGAGATTACTTAAAAAAAATAAAATCTTAAAAAGAAAACCCTGGAATGGCTACTCCCCTCTCCCTGCAAGAAACACCATGGACTTCAAATCGGAGGCCATGCCGTATCTTTACACTGCCTATGAGAAGTCATTGCTTTCCAGAGTCACTGATGGTCACTGTAAAGACAACAGGAGAAATGTTAAATCTGGGGACTGTATTTCTGATTTGGAAATAAATATGGGGTATGACCAATATGTTACAAATAGAGCAAGGAAAATTCTTAAGTCTCTATGTCTCCATGATCACTTGTAAAGTTGAACAATTAGACTTCAAGTCCTAGAAACAGGCAAAAATATGAAGCACATAGAGGAGATAACCAGTGCATATAAAGACCACCAGACACACAAAATTCTTTTATTTTCCTTACCATATATCTGACCTAAGATGAATATATTGGCTGGAATAACCATCAGAGGCTTCATCAGCAATTTTGGTTGGCCCTCTAGAATTTGGAACCCTGGAGAGACGGGGACTACACCAGATGAAAGGCTAAATCAATGAGGGCAGCACGAACTGCTGGGCAGATTTTAAATCATGCTGCAGCCTTCACAGCTCCAGAAGTAACACCGCGCACATCCATGAAAAAGCCAAAGCATGATCACAACGAAACGACAGCACTACCTTCCCCGGGGGTGAAGGGAAGGCCCGAAGCCGGAAGTGCTGGGCTTGCTGCTGGTGCTCCAGGGGTCACCTGGGACAACAGATGAGAAGGCAAAGGGCGGCAAGGCCTTGGGGGTCTAATTTTGAGGCTCTGCTGCTTTTTATTTTGCTGCCAGTAAGAGCAAGCGCACTGTGGCCTCGGACAGCAGCCTGGCCCCGGGCCCCGGCGCCTTGTCAGCACACCTGCGGTAGGCCAGGAAGCTGCCCCTCCAACGACCTGCCGTCCTGTGGGCTGGCCAGGGAGGGCTCCTTTTCATGGAGGGCCAAGTTTCATCAAAAGTAGCACAGGTCCCCACCCCACCCCATAGACAGACCCTTGAAGCTTATTTCTTTTAAAGCTCTTTTATGGTCAAAGAGCAAAAACTCAAAAGACTAATATTGTATTAAAAAAATCCAAATAGCAGCTTTTAGCTTTTAGCTTCTCCCCGTGTCTCCCTCTGCCTGTGATATGCTGTTTTCTGCGGACAGCAAACTTCGGCAGCCCGTCACTGAGGAGACAATGGTTCTAAGGTTCTGGGTTTGTGAAAAGCCTAAAGGTCAGGTGACCACACGCTCCTTCACACAAACCAGGACACCTGGGAGGGCAGAGGGCTGCTGGCGAGGGCAGACATGGAGCAGGGCCGGGCCAGGCGCCCCCAGAGGAAGAGCCGCCTATGTGAAGGAGGCTGCAGCCAACGAACAGCCCCGGCCCCAGCCCTCCCATCCCTGACGGCCTCCCCATGTGCCACCCCAAAGCCCCCCCCAGTTCCCGTCTCACTGTTCCTCTGCCTCATATAAATCCGACAGAAAGGAGGAGTTCAGCGTGTACAGGGTGCTGTTTTTAATCCCTCTAGGTTACCCTTAATGTGATGTTTAAAGCCAATAGTCAGAGGATTCAAGAAAAGCTTGGGATTCTGGTCAATATACTTACAGTAAACAAAGAGTTTAATCCCCAGACAACATCCTGGAATGAGAAAGAAAGAAGAAAACAAGTTTTAGGCTCCTGTGCATTTAGTGTTTCAAACCCGTGACCAAGAAATATGTACTGTGTCAGGTCAGAATTTATCTTTAGCATGCTGTTTTCCCTAAGACTTAAACTTAAAACAACTTCTCTCCAATATGACAACAGGCTCTGGGAAATTTGGAGATGAGCAGTCACAGGTAGAAAGACAACATAAAGTGCCCTCGGGACCCAGCCCAAGGAGCCAACGGGCTGTATCTGCTCAGGGCAACCCCACCTTACATCACCTCGTGCTCGTCATCTTCCAATACAGTTCGGGACTTCCAAAGAGTCATCTTTACAACAAAATCTGTTGTTTCTGCATCTGTGTCCTCTTAGGGACTGCAGATAAGCTAATTACCCACGTCCCACAGGCCTCTAACAATTTTGCTCTAATTACTTTAAAAAAAAAAAAAGTGGAAGACTGATAAACACTTCCTACCTAACATTCAAAGATCAGAAATTCTCATTAAAATAAAATGGAAAATCAGTGTGTTCTCTCTGGACTGACTTGTCATCTGTGACTCAACCACCAAGTCCCTCTCAGCATTCCTCGTCATCAGCTCAAGTCTTGTCTTTTTTAGGCTGATACTCTGCTAGCTGGCAATTTTAATCACCACCTCTGCTTTGTCCCAGCCATCCACCCATGTCCTTCTGGGGTGAGCTGCACCTGGGGCTGGAGCTGGCAGTAAACACATGTTCTTTGTCTGGTGGAGAGGTCGGACAGACAGGCATGTCAGCAGAACTCCCACAGAAGTGTTCCCACAGAGGACCCAGCAGGGAGGAGAGGCTTCCCAGAGGAAGCAGGGCCTGCCGGGTAGAAGGACGACAGGAGGGAGCACCTTCTAGGTAGAAGGACCCCTGTGCCGAAGCTAAGTCCGAAGTGGGCAGGACATGTCCAGGGTGTGGTGAGAAGATAGGCCGGGCTCCCCATGGCAGTAGAGACCACACTTCAGAAGGATCCAGTCAGGCCTGTAGGTCTGCAGTGTCCTCTGACTCTGGGGGAGGGCCCCAACACCTTCCCTGTGTTCTTCTCCCAAAGTGCCCACCTGGAGATACCCAACGACAGTGCCTACATGCCAGAGTTTGCAGCTGTCGCCCATGAGGTGTGGTCACGTACAGAACTAGACCTGGCCCAGAACCAGTGTAGTCACTGGTGGGCCGCTGTGACCCATGCATACCTCTCCCGGCCTCAGTGTCCTCCTCTAAGAGCAGTGGGGTTGCCTAAGAGCAGGGAGTGGGAGTGAGGACAGTCTCTAAGAGGTGAACCAGGAAGCTGGCATGTAAGCAATGAGGTCAGTTTATCCGCACAAGCTCTTTCAAAGGCAGGGCCTACAGCGTTAAACTGTGAAGGATGGTGGGTAGAGAAAGCCCGGCACACGTGTGCAGGAGGGCCCAGGCCTGTTCAGGTCTACTCAGGCTTCCCCTTGTGGCCCAAAGGACAGCATCTGATGCGCATCTCCAGCACCAGCCATGCTTACGTTTTGTGTGTTTGGCGCAGAGTTCGACTTACAAATGGTTTTAGTTAGGATGACTTTTGTAATCCATGCATGACCAAGCCAAAGTTAACACATGTGTAAAAATGTTGCTCTTCAGACAAAGACAGAGATGGAGAGGGGGAGACAGAGAGGAAGATGGCATTGTGCGATGTGCCAGGCAGTGTGTGAGTGTCACAAACTCGCTGCTTTGACACCCTCCAGGTTGACCTGGCACAACTGTGAAGAGGAGGACACAGTCACCAGGGAACATGGGCCGGGTCTGGACGAGCACGCCTTTGTGCCGAGTCCCGGGCTGAAGAGAAGCGCAGGCTGGGAACCCAGCTGCCCTCTGAACCCAGGACCGGGAGGGCGCCTTCTGGGCAGCATGGACCCGGCACGAGAAGGGCAAAGGCTCTGATGACTGCGTGGACTGCTTCGTTACCCATCAGAAACTCCCAGCAAGAGTCAGGCAGCCGGTCACCACAAAGTGAACACTAGCCAGAAGTCCTGGCTGCTTCTGACGAAAAGCTCAGGCAACAGGAGGAAACTGTAGGTGTCCCACGGATACCGCAGCAGAAAAGCCCTGAGCTGAAGCCAGAGCTGGCGGCCTCATGCAGCGCCCGTAACGTGCAACCCCAGAACCGACTAGAGCCTACACCGCAGAAGCAACTGGAGCCACTTGTTTAGCCCCGGCGGCTCCCCTCTCCATCACCCTCCCCTGGGTGGGGTCCTCCTTCAGGACACACCTGTCTGGGCTGCCACCCTTCCGTTGTCCAGGCTAGCTCCGGGTAACTCGGAGCAGACGGAAGCCACATCTGCCCTCTCCCTCCTCCCCTCTCCCCACCCTGACAGCTCTCGTCTCCTCGGAGGGTGAGGCACCCCACAAGACTGGGGGACAGAGGAAGGGAAGAATAGAAACTACACGACCTGAAGCACAAATGGTAAAGCGCAGAGGGCAGTGAAGATAACTTGAATCCCCACAGCCCCGAGATGAACTGGGGGCAGAGGAACCGACCGGGGCAAGTGCTTGGCCAAGCAGCCCCTGGTGGGCAGCAGGGGGCAGGGTGTGCCCGGCCACGTGGGTGCACAGGACAGCAAGGAGACTGGTTCGCAGAGGGAGAGGCCTCCAGGCCGGGGCTGTGCTCAAGCGCACTGCACTCTACCTTTAATGTCCTTGTGGGAGCCCAGCCGGTGCCGTCAATCGAATGTTCTCTCAGTAAACTGAAACAGACAGAAAGGCACAGCGGTCAGCAAGGGCAGCCTCCAGTCACAGGAGCTGCAGATGTGCTGAGCCGCCGCCGCCAAGCCCTCTGGGCCCATGGCTCCTCTTCAGGACATCGGCTTTCCCCGGGCCCCACCTCTCCCCTGGTGCCTCGCAGGCCCGTCTCCCTGCAGGAGGCCATCTCTACCCCCAAGTCTAATCTGTTATGCCATGTTTATTGCTTGTACACCCAGGTCTTTAATCCTGCATGCACAAGAAGTTCTAAGCAGGAAGAAAGTATGGTTAAAATAACATACAAAGAGCACTTGTCAACTTGATATTCAGAAAATGACAACTGATGCTTAGAACTTCCTATGTGTTTCAGCATGATCCTAACCTCACGTAATGCCTCAACAACCCATGAGGGAGGTGCTGCCATCTCTCTAATGCAGAAAAGAAAACAAGGCACAGAGCAGCAAGGGCACGGGCCTGGGGGACAGTCCTTCAAACCTGGGCAGCTTGCCCGGAGATGCAGGTGAACACGGATGACAGCTCCTAGCACACATTCTAATACCTTGTTTTTGTTTTGTAAAAAAAAGTTCAAAAGGGAAAAATGAAGGATAAAGGTAGATTAACACAAAATTCTGAATGGTCCTCACCAGTGGGTGGGAGGACCATGTTCAGAAAAGGTGCACATGCGCTTTGGAGGTACTGTGAGGTCCTATTTCCTAAGGTGGACCCGAGGGTCACTTCCATCCCTGTTCCATCAGCTGTACATGCACATTACATACTCTTCACAGAAACGATTATTCCACACTTGGAAAAACGAGAATTTATTGCCAAGTTTCCTTCTGGGGAAAAATTAGTTTGGCATTGTTGAGCTGTATCCTGCTGCTGCTTTGATGTGTACATAACAGTTCCTAAGCTCACACGGCAGTGTCTGGCTCTCTGCACCTTAACTATTACCGTGAAGAGTAGTTCTGGATCAGAGCATGTTCAAATTCCCGTAAGTCAATTACGACCAGGAGAAAATATAAATATCCTATAATCTTAATTGCCCATGAAGATCAGTTAGAATAAATAAAACCCTAAATTGACCACTACTACTTACTTTGAGCCTTAAAAACAAAACAAGAAAGAAGAAACCGACATCTCCACCCTGCAGAGGCCCAGGCCTTGTTGACAGGAAAGCTCTGCAACTTCAGAGTAACCGTTCGGGAACCATGTGCCAGGTCCTGGAGGTCTATATGACCCAGTGAGAGGTCTCCTCACTGAGGTAGGGACAGGAATCCGTTCAGATTGTCCTTGTCCTTTTCTCTGACAGACCTCATCACTATCCTCAGCCATCTACCTGTTCACTTGTTCAATGCCTGTCTCCCCAGCAGCTGCCAAGCCCCACAAAGCAAAGAATACCAACTGCTCCCACTGCGTCTAGGCTTGACCACCATTAGCTGATGGCGGAGGGGGCAGCTTCACTGGCTGAGCAGGTAGTATCCTCTGACCCCTGTCAACACACAGCCAGAGCAGGAGGGCTCTGAACCTGGAGGCCAGCTGTGCCCACCCAGGGCAATGGCAGATAAGGGGGGGGGTACCCATAATCGGGCAGGCTGTGCCCAGGGCTGCAGGCCACAGGTCTGGGCAGAGTGACACTATGGAGGGAACACACTGTCACTGTGCAAGCTCTAGCCCAGCCTCAGCAGGTGGCAGGCCCTCAGAGGGTACCAGGCAAGGGATTAGAGAGGGTGCCTCAGGGGCTACACTGGAATCATGGGCCCTAGGAGAAAAAGTCTCAAGTGCAACCACCAGGGTCCTGGCCCGGAGCCCTCTAATCCCACAGACACGGCCCCTCTCACCTCTGACCCTGAGCCAAAAGCAGGCGAGGGCCCCTGGTGGGAGCAGAGCAAGCCTCACAAAGAGAGGTAAGTGCCCTGTGTACTAGACAAGGCCCCACAGAGCACCAGGCACCGGTCAGAGCTGCTGAGTGAGGAATCCAGGTAGATGCTGCCTGGTGGTCACTGCAGACCAGGAGTGGCTGGCCCAGGCTTGTCTTTCTCTTTATTCAGGAGATGCCAGGATTAGTCAGTGGTACACTAAGCCCCTGCTGGACACTGTCTGTTTTTTTCCAAAACAACGAGGAGGTCTTTGCACTTTAATCTGGCACATTATTTCCCATAAACAAATCCCTACAAGTGCAGCTGACAAATCCAAGGGTAAATACAAGTTAAATGTAGACTTTATAGCTGATATATAGGTATATCTCCCATGATGTGAGAGAGCCTGTTCTTTCCCTTTCTCTCTCTCTCTCCTTTCTCTCTTACCCCCCCACCCCCCACTGGGTATTTGCTTTTGCCCCGGGCAATATGAGGAGTGGTGAGCGGCATCTCATTGTTTCCATGAGCCTCTCTCCGGCTACTACTACCGAGACCAAACATCCCTCAGGTGCTTACCACCCACCTGTAACTCTCCTATGAGTCACTACTTGTACCAGGTGCTCGGTTTTCCTAGTGGGTGTGTCTGTCTTTTTCATCCTAATTGGCAAAGACCTTTTACACATGAAGGATGTAACCCAGCTGATCTTTTCTCTCTCACTTTTATGTTTTGTCTTTTTAATTTTAATGTGGCTAAATCTATCAATGATTTTCCTTTAAGGCTTCTGGCTTTTGCTGCTGGCTGCTGCCCACTGAGTTCTCCTCACACTTTGCTAATAATCTGATTTCTCAGAAGACAGCAAAAGTGATGAGAGAAATTCCTGCCCTGGCATTAACTCTGGTGGAGGATAGGGTGTGACAGGTAGGGCGTCCGGTGGACTCCCAGGAGAGCAAGCACCAGCGATGGCCTCAGGGGAGAAGGCTGGAGTGGATGCCATCTACAGCCTGAAGCTGGAGGAGTCCGATTTTGTAAGTGTGATACTTAAAGGACAGGCGGGGAAAAGGTGGCCTCTTGTAAATGCATTTGTAACTGTCTACTGAAACGGAGGCGGATAGGAGAGAACAGTGGACACTGCACTCAAGCTGCACTGGGAGCTGGGTACTAACTGTGCTTTTAAGAAGGAAGAGGGGGCGCCTGGGGGGGGCGCAGTCCGTTAAGCATCGAACTCTTGATTCCGGATCAGGTCATGATCTCAGTCCTGGGACCGAGCCCAACATGGGGCTCGGTGCTCACTGGGTAGTTTGCCTGTTGCTCTCCCTCTGCTCCTCTCCCAGCCTGTGTGCTCTCTCAATAAATATATAAACGAAGAAGAAGAGAAAGAGGAGGGGTAGGGGGATGAAGAAGAAGGAAGAGGGGTCCAGCTCTGCCGGCACTACAGGCAGTGTGTAGCTCCCCATCACAGGCAGGCTGCTGTTGCCAGGGCGGGGACGGGACACGACACGACACCGACTTAATCACAGGAAGAAAGCAGAACAAGGTGCTAATGCTAATGCCTACCCTCTGCACTGTGGCTGAAGGTTACTGTGACTTTGCTGTGGCAAAGTCACCCGCTGCGGGTGGACGCGCAGGGTTCCAGCCCGGGCAGTCTGGCCCCAGAGCCCCTGCAACCCCACTGCCGCCTTAGTAGAGAAAGTGACGAGACGCAGGAAGATAAAGCCCAAGTGCTAAATTTACTTAAAAACAACAAACCACACACCCTACATTAGTGACCAGCAGCCTAGAGAAGCGGGGAGTTGCAGATCCCTAATCATCTGCCACTGGAAGGGGGAGGGACACACAGGCCACAACTGACATGAAGTTCTGGGAAAACTGTCCTGCTCTTCGCACATCAAGACTTTTGGTAAAAAGAGGACATCTTAAATACAAATGCCCAGGTCTTAAACTTGCCATCTACACCCCCCCACCCCAGATTTTATAAATCCTACTTTTCCTTCTTTTTATTTATTTTTATTTTTTTTAAAGATTTTTATTTATATGACAGAGAGAGACACAGAGAGGGAACACAAGCAGGGGGAGTGGGAGAGGGAGAAGCAGCCTTCCCGCGGAGCAGGGAGCCCGATGTGGGGCTCGATCTCAGGATGCTGGGACCATAACCTGAGCCGAAGGCAGACGCTTAACAACTGAGCCACCCAGATTTTATAAATCCTACTTTTCCTTCTTACCTAAAATCAGCCACATGGAGGGATTGCAGCCTCTCACTACAACAGGAGCGGAAAAGGGTGAGGAGGCCTGGAGGGAGCACCAGCAGGGCTCTTGGCCACCGGAGTGCCCAGGAGGACTTGGGTCTGGAGGTGGAGGAAGGCTGGGGGTGGGGTGGGGGTGGGAGACCTTCCAGTCACTGGAGTACAGCCCAAAGCTCTGAGGGTGGTTTCCCAAACCTCCCTAAACATGGCCCAGCCTCAAAATTTCCTCTCAGTGGAGATTATGTGTTAGAAAGCCCAACGCTCACACATAGTGCTCACAAACACAGAAGCCAGGAAAGAAGAGAAACCCACCTTAGACATATTTCGCCTGTCTCTGTGATGTTGGGGTGCCAGATCCTCGTCAGGCATTTCACTTTGGGAGGCTGCAACACAGAGAGAAAGAGACTCTCCAAATCATGCCTACTGCCACACACCCATCTAGCCCCTCGTTCCACTGCTTACTGGGCACTCGGTCGGACTGGCCCCAACCAGGGTTCAATCCTGGACTCCCGTCACCTGAGCAGGAGCGTCTTCACACTGCACCCACAAGTGCTAGCCTGCCTGTACCCCCAACACGACCCTTCTACAAGTCCCAGGGCCGGAGGGGCAGTGGGGCTGGTGGCGGGGCCTCGGCCCGCTCTGACCCTCCCTGCCAGGGCTGTGGAGCCCACGGTGCGCTGCAGGCCCCAGTCAAACCAGGAGCCTGCAGACGTTACGCTGTGCGCTACGCTGCTGAGCTGTGGCTGAGGGTTACTGCTCCTCACGGCGGCAGCTGGGTCCCTGCGCGCGTGTTTCTGAAGATGCGACTGCCATGTACATGGTCCTACATCCAAGTCATAGTCTGCTTTATGCTTACAGGAGGGAAAGAGAATGAAAACGAGCATGTGGGAGGAAGGCACACCGACATCACTGATGACGAGGCATGTTTGGATGAAGCTGTTCTTTTAAAGTGACTCGATAATACAAGCAATCCATACTCATTTAAGACAAAAAGACAATGACAACAAAAGGCAAGATCTCTGTCTTTCCTTTTGTTATATATGATAATTCCACCCAGAAATTCTCTCTCTAACACCCGATACACATCTTGCGAGCCTCTTTTCTAGGCCCCACACAGAGATGCATGTGCGTGCACATTCATTTTTCCTTATGGAAGTGGGGACGTGTGCTCTCTATCTTTTCATATTCCTTTCTGTAATCACTTCAAATGGCTTTGGGCTTTCTCACCCTCCATGGTACAATTCTAGCATTTCACAAGCCAGTTCCTATTACTGGACATTTAGGTTGTCTCCTACCTCTACCACGAACTGGGCTAAATCAGTGTGCTCATCTCTGCTCACATCTGTAGGAAAGGTCTGCCCGGGGGGAAGCCCAGGTAGAGGAACTGCTGGTCAGCGCACACAAGTGTCATCTGGCCAAGTCTCAACAGACATGTCATCTTGTAGACATTCACAGCCCTTTGTTATGGGGGGGCCACGCTTTCCACGTTTATCATTCAGTATTAATTTGCATTTATGATGCTTTCTTTTGTAAAGTCTTTGTAATCAAATTTTTATCTTTGTTACCAACCACCCAAATCCTCTACTGCACTTTTTCTAGTACTTGAATCGTTCCCTCATTTTATTTGTACAAAACATACTTTTCCAGCACTCTTTTAAGTTTTCCTCCTGATTTTAAAACAGCATGACATCAAGAAACTCCCCCAGATAATTAATCCAAGCATGCAAATATAGGTGTCCAAGGTTACAGAATTTAGGTTCAGAGTGAGTTTCAATCAATTTAATATGCTCTAATTTGGTTTCCTGCAAGTAAATGGGAATGCATTTGACGGAAAGTATGCTAGTCATCGTGCATTTCCAGCAAGGCCTTCAGGCTGAGGGAAGGCCGACATTGCAGGGTTGTATGAATCTAAGTAACAATACAGTTTCCATACTGGGTAGACTGAATCACCAACCTGGCATCGGAGGGAACCTGCGGGCTCTATCTCCCTCCCTTCTAGAGAGTCCTTGACACACACACACACCTGTCACCCCGCCTAATGTTGTTCACTGGATCTCCAAGTATCCGATTGTATTTGCCCCTCTCCTCCTTGTCCCTTCCCACCTTCCATAGTTAGATGTTGGCACAGACACCTCCCCTTGTCAGTGGTCCTCCTAACTGCAGTCCCCAGACAAGAGAACAAATTGGAACTATGGACCCAGATTCTGACACACACTTTCCAAACAGAACTTGTAGACCTGACCCTACCCCTAAAGCAAGACAGACGAGAAACACCCAGTCCCACCTCCTACTTGGCATTGCCGCCTGCCCCATCACAGGCTAGGAGTTAAATATATGACAGCCACGGCATTGCAAACCAATGGGGAAAAAGGGATTCTTCAGTGCACAACTGGATAACCATCCGGAAAAACATAGATCCCCACTTAAGAGTTGTACTCCAGATGCATTAAACACAAATGATACAGAACTATAAGAGCACTGAAGAAAATGCAGATGATTTACCTTGGGATCTGAAGGCCTGTTTTAAGCATTTCATAACAAGAAAAACTCGTGAAAGAAAAGTAGATTTTAGTACAGTGGTGAAGCAAAACAAAACAAAACAAACCCCTCCCCCGCAAAACCCCCCGAAGTTTTACAGAATAAAAACAATAAAAAACAAGGGAAAAACAGAAAAATCTTTAGAGTACAACTAAGAAAACTAGGGAAAACGTTTCATATAAATTCCAGCTGAGAATTCTTATAAGAAAAACAAATATCCCAATGGAAGAAAGGGCTCAGGACATAGTAACAGCTCACAAAGAACATAAAAAGCTAATAAATAGGAAAAAAAATATTCAGCATTCCACTTATTTAAGAAATGAAAACTCAAATGACAATTAGATACCATTTATTTCCTCCCAAAATGGCAAAAAGAAATCAAAAGATTCCATTTTCATGAGGAAAAAGGGCCTTTTCAGACAGTACTGGTGAGGAAGCCGCTGGCGTAACCTCTCTGGGAACTAGTTTAACAGTGTCGATGAGGAGTCTTAAAATCAGCATCAGTTACTCCACACTGGTAACCCCAAGAGGATTTATGCCAAGGACAGAGGCAGACGCACGGCAGCACCGCTTATGCCCGCCGTCAACGACCGACAGCCTATGCACCAAGTGCAGGCGGGGCCTGCTGCTGCAGGGATCTAAGTATGGTTTCTACATTTTGAAAAGACTGTTTAAAGAAATCCCAACTATTTTGTGGAGAAAAATAAGTATATGTGATAGAGACCATTTGTGGTTCACGAAGCCTAAAATATTTACTACTCACAGAAAGTGTGGTTCATACTGTCAAAAACTGGTCAACTAGTGACCAACAATAAAGGACTGATTTAAAACCATGACGCAGTGCTCTTATTAATGATGATGTAACATGTTCTCATGTGAATTGACATGAGAACATGTGTTCATCACGTTATAGTGTTAAAAACCCCAAGTTACCAAGCTATGTGTAGCATGATCCCATTTGTACATACGATTATATGTCGCCCATAACACATCAGAAAGTGAACAGCGATCATCTCTGGGTGGAGAGGTAACAGGTGATTAACATTCCATTTTTGCAGAGCCGTATTTCCCCCATTTCCTACAAAGCATACACTACACACAAGGCAGAGGGGAGTGGGGGTTCAGTTCACTTGTAGTATCTCTGCCCCACCCCCCCCTTTCTGGGGCTGGTCATGGCCATGTCTCTTGATTCGGTTATGTTTTATCAAAAATGTGAGGGGAGGGGCGCCTGGGTGGCTCAGTCGACTGAGCGTCCGACTCTTGGTTTTGGCCCAGGTCATGATCTCGGGGTCCTGAGATCAAGCCCCACATCAGGCTCCACACTCAGCGTGGAATCTGCTTGTCCCTTCTCCCTCTGCTCCTCCTCCTGCTCTCTCTCATAAACAAATAAAATCTTAAAAAAAAAAAAAAAAAGCGTGGGGGACGTAACATGTGTTACTTCCAGGAGGAAACTGGAGGCAAAGAATGAAAAGCCGTGTCCCCTTCTCCTGCTTCAGCGCATGGTCTCTGCCAACCAACACGCAATTAACATGCCACGGGGGCATTGCAGGACTTTGGGACTGTGACACCACACTGAGCCCTGCTCCTCCTCTGGGCGTCCTGATCACCCAGGGATCCCCAGCGCTATGTCACCACCCTGGCTCATCACTGTTTGTGCTGTCTCCCAGGAGACTGGGGTTCTTAAAAAGCCAGTGTCTGACATAGAACCTTGCAAAGCTCATTTCATGTCACTAAATAATTTCAGCCACTATCTTAGAGAGATCACAAGGCAGACTTGAGGCTGTGAGGTAAAGTTCAGGGACAAAAGGACAAAGAGCCAAAGGAAAATTTGAACTTTAGCTGCTGGGGTGTAGGGGCATTGAGGGGGTAGGGAAACCAAATAGGTATTTTCTTTCTTTTAAAAGTTTACTCTAAAATAATGACCTATTTAAGTGATTAGAAGTTTTTCAGAATGACAACCTTAGTAAGTGACTTTAACTGAAGAAGCTGTAAGTGTCAGGGGTTTTTAAAAAGTCCTTACCAAGTACAGAAATCATATAAAGTCATGGCATAAAAGCAAATGAGCCTAAGACAGCTCCCATAGAGGTCTCTCCGGCTAACCTTCTAAAAGCTGGCTGTCTCCCATCCAAATAAAACATAGGTGCCTAAAGTTTACTCTCACCATCTCTGCCCCAAATGCCTACAACCTATGTATTTTCAGATGCTGGTTTCATTTTCTACACCGTAAGTCTGTAGGGGCAGAGAGCACCAATCGTTGGACAAATGTGTACTGTGTGCTCTCACAGAGCCCTGGAAATACAGCGTAAGTAAGACACTCCCAGTCTGGTGGAAAGAGACGTTAAGGAGTTATATAAGCAAAGATTAACTACAAAAAAGTAAACACAAATACCTCTGTATTGGTTAGGCACTGCATTACATGGTTTCCCGGGGATGGTGTCACCTCCCAATCCCTGCCCTGAGCTAGTGACAGTCGCCGGCCTGGTAATTACGACTGCGGCCTCAGCCTGGACATGGAGGCAGAGAGGACATGCAGGGGCCGCAGGAGCACAGAGTGGAAGAGGCCCTAACGGCAGCAGGGCAGGGTCTGGGTCCACCCCAGAGGGGCTGGCCTCTCAGTGCCCCTGGCTTGAGAAATGGGTTTCATTCCTGATGAAATCAAACCAGCCCATCATTCAGAAATTTCCCAAAGGAGACAGAAACTAAATATAAGAATGTAAAACCATCATAAGTCACCAATTAATGTAAGAAACATGTCCTCAAGGCTCAGTGGTTTTCTATCCTGTGTATTCCGTGTCCTACCTCTCTGTTTCTTGAAGAGGTCACATAGGGGCAAGACAAGATGACCAATATTTTCTCCCACAAAGTGGCCGCTGGGTTTGGGAAGGGCACATGTCAGGGAGCTGGGCAGCACTGGACGAGAACCTGCTTTAGCAATGGAGCTATTTATTCTGGCAAAGCTAACTCTACCTCTCTGGGCCGTAACTTCCTGACGTGTCCCCAGGCAACTACTGGAGAATCACACGAGGGGAAGTGAGTGGGGGCACCTGGTACATAAAAGCTCCCAACAAAAATCACTTCCCTTGGTGTCTTCTCATGCTCTGCTCTCTTCCGATACTGGGACCGAGAGGCTCTGCCACTAAATGATACCTAATGTACCTGAAATAGTGGTCCTCAGATTCGGCAGCCCCTCCCCACACCATCCTCCTCCTCAAACACTCACTGCCTCTCCAAGAAGACTGTGTCACATACCACCCTTTAGCACTCTTCCGACGAGGAGTCCTTAGAGACGGCAGATGTCCAAACAGCTAAAAGGTCCAGAATTTTAAGTGCTGTATGCCTGGCTGTTTCCGAAAACATCAAACTAGCCCCTGGAATTCTAAACATCTGTACTTCAACCAAACCTCTCCAACTGTCTCCCCCCTGAGGGAGTCCAGTGTTCTGTCAAGCCAGACTCAGTGTGTGATTAGGGAAATAGAGGAAGTCAGCAGGGAGCTGGATGGATGGACAGATAAAGACCTGAGATGCACATTTTCCTGTCTTTGCTTAGAAATTAAGTTTTTTCTTCTTGGATTGCCAACTCTTTCCCATCCTCACGAACTACATTCAGAAAGAACTTTTAATGTAGTAGCCTAGTAAAAAGCAATTACTTAGATAAAGGTTTGGCTTCAAATAACAAAGTGTGACAGCCACTGAACTGTGCCCTGGTGGTGGGCCGGGCCCGGGGCAGGGGGCCTCATTGCACTTGTCAGCTGGTAGGTCAGTCACTGCAGGCAAACCAACGTGGCACACAGGGTCCCCAGTACCCACAGGCTCAAGGTAACAAGAGACTTAATTTTACCATCAGATTTTTTTTCCTAGTTGATAGGCCTAGAGAGGGCTGGGAAACAGTAGGGGCATGTATATATATATATCTCATGTAAAATTGTGGAGCTGTTCAGAACTGTCACTGGTTTCTCACTGCCAAAGTGAAAATGCCCAACAACACTCAAATGTGAGTTTCTTGTTTGTCCCCACTTCTCCCCAACCCTGATTCCTCCTTCTAGTTGACCTGGTCAATCCACCACACACATGCTGCTCATTCTCACTTCTGTACCTATTAAAACAGTTCCAGGGATTTCGACATCACCTAGACCACCATCCCCTGGTTAAGGGTCAACCAAGTCAGGACAACTCCAGTCCTATTTCTCCTGAAAAGCTCAACTGGCTGGACCACTTTCCCAATGTGATCCTCTCCTTCCTTCTCGGAATCCCGTGCATTAATTTCCTGGCACTGCTCCATATCTCTGTTATCTGCTACTTATGGCTTTTATCATTTTAGGGTAACTTTCTACACTTTTTCTCACCTTCCTAACTGGTAAGTTCCTTAAGAGCAAGGATAGAATGTGACAGTACTTGGTATAATTATTACCTAGGTGGGGTCTTTGAGAGATCAACATTACTTATGGTTTAAAACTATGAGCCATTCCTCTTTTCTAAAATTCTAAAATACGTGTTTTCTACACCTTGGGAATTCTGGTGTTATACCACAAACAAAACCACAGTTTTAAATAAAATGCTTTCCTCCTTGGCGCCAGGATTTAACAAGTTAAGACTGGTGTGAACCACACAGGCAGCTCCGAGCGAAGGTGCCAACCTTGGCCGAGCTGTAGCCCCCATGCGCACTGCCCGACACACAGCACTCACAAGTACTTGTTAAAAAATGCATCTCTCCCCTAAGGCTCTGAATACTGCCGACGAGCAACATGAATCACAGAAATATCGGCCGTTTTGTACTCAGCCCCAGGACTGGGGGGACCCAATGTGGGGGGAGGGGGTGGGGGGTGCAGGGCTGTGACCACCACTGGGCCACGCAAAGGGGACAATGGTTCAAACGCAGGCTACTCACCACCATGTTGTACGCATCAGGAACTTCAGTTTCAAACTGAAATTTTCCACCCTGGTAGTAACCCTCATCTATCAAAAACACAAAACAAAACAAAAAAATCCTTTAAATTAAAAAAAAGGAAACAAAAAGCAAACACTCATGTTAGAATATGGCAAATACAGAGAATTAAGAGTTAAACAACAGGACTGCAGGGTTCCTTGTTACTTCACCAAATCCTGCCCTGCTCTAATGATGAACCCCAATCAGTTCCCTGCTGGCCTGTCACCCCACTAGCCATGCACCCTCAGGGGAGGCGTAGGCACCCTTCTGGGGGACTGGTTCCTCTTCCTCAGTCTCCCAGGACCTGCCCAAGGAACCCTGTTCTCACCTCGGCCCACCCCACTCCACACCCCAGCACCCACGGGACTCCTTCAAGCACATCTCATGATAGGCAACCATCCTGTTTGAGCTGCAGGGCCATCTGTTTGCTGCTGGTGGCCCCATGAGAATGTCAGTTCCGAGGGGTGCTCTGGGGGGCCGGAGGGGGGGCAAGCAGTGGAGCACAGAGACGGGGTCCTCGCCTCAGAGACGGCGCACAGACAACGCTGCTGGGCGGGCTGGCTGAGCGCTGGCTGCAGCCTTCTGAACAAAGCGGGACCTCTGGCAGGGGGCTGGTGGGCATGCAGGAGGATGTCTGGAGTCAGGGCGGCACTGGGTCAGACCCCACAGCGCAGTCCCAGCTCCTGTGATGGCCTCAGCCACCTCTCAGCCTCTTCTAGGGTCGACCAGGCCGGCGTGAGCCTGGCCTGCAGGTGCACGGTAGAGGCTACTGGGGCTGCTGCCAGCAGAGGGCGCTCCACCATGAAGGTGCTTGAACCTGAAACACTTCCCCCCAGTACTCTGAGTTTCACAACTTGACAAAATTAACACCATCTTTAAAATGAAAGTTCAACTTCCCCCCAAATATTTATCATTGTGAACAAATCAGCAATAGTACATCTTATTGCTTCCCTCAGCTGTTTATGTAAAATGAACATTTAATAGGAAGTTGTTAGTTTCCAATAAATCATCACTAAAAAAGTTTTTTGAGATTGCATCAATACTTATGTTGTCCATGGTAGTTTTAACTAACATTACCTGGACCCCAAAGTTTTCATTCTTTGCCAGCGTGACAGAAGAGAAATACTCTATTTGTTTCATTTTACACTGAAGAAAAGTAGTGAGGCTGAAATTTACTTCATACTGAATCATTTAATGACTGATGTTCCATAAGTATCCTTGTATTACTGAGGTACCCATGTTTTAATTACAATATAAAAAAGCTCTTAAGAAGATTAACCTTTGCCTTTTATATTTGTTACAATGTTTCTTAGTCTGCTGTTTGTCCTTCGGTTTTGTGGTTCAACTAGTTTTCACTTTTGAGAAGCCAGTCTTTCTGTGGTTTCTGTCTTTGGTATTACCCTGAAAAAGATCTTTCCCAACCAAGATTATAGAAAGACCTGATTTCTCTGTTTTCTCTTAGTGATCCTGTGGTTTCATATGTCCCATCGGCTCATCTGGAATAAGGTGGTGTGTTTTCTCCGTGCTTGCCTGACCCATCACATAGTATTTATTATCCTACCCTTCCCCACTATCTGATGCGTCTATTTCTAGTGCTTACAAGTGCACTGGGATTCGTGACTGACACTATCGAGTCTTTGGAAAAGACTCTGGGGAAAAATTTTACCTCCAGATACAAGAACTTTCCAAACAAGTGGCATCTCAGGTATAAAATAATCAGAGCACATCCTTGCTCACCAGAGGCTCCGTGTTGCACAGCGGTCATCGCGGCCGAGTGGCCCAGCGCTGGGCTCTGTTAGACCATGCGGCGGCACCAGAACGCCAGCTTCAGGTGCAGAGCTCCACCTGCTCTCTTCTCTTCTTGCTCCCCAAGGCTGTGCTCCAGCCCCTCCATCCTGCCACACCACTGTGGTTTTTCTCTAGCTGGCTTTCCATGCCACGATTATAGAGTTTCAACTCTGCTATCTACCAGTTTCAAAGAAACTATTATTTGGTCTAATGGGGTTTTGGTTTTACCATATTCCTCTGTCCTACTCAAGCTCTCAATTAGTAATTATTAGAATTATATCATGTCTGAATCCACTGAAAAGAGAGAGCAAGCAGACGGTTGTAATTTTTGTTCTATTTCACGAAACACGTCTTTCAGGAAAGATTATCAGCTCCTGAGCCAGTACTTCGTTTTTCCTCTTCTAAGGTACGTAAGCCTTTGGACCCGATCCACCTTGGTTATGAATTTGCCTAGAAATGCCACAGTCCCACTTACAAAGCAGCTGAGGAGCAGACTGGACTGAGAGGAAACTCAAGAGCATCTCTTGTTTCCTGTGATTTTCTCAACAAAAGGCCCCAGGGAAGAGTTCTTGCTGGTCCACCTTCCGGGTCTGGCTCCCGAGCTGGCATTTCGCAGGGCGGAGACGCAAGACGGCCTACACAGCTCTGGAGCCAGCGGGCAGCAGGGTCATTTAGAGCGTCCATAACCCAGTGTGAACCACATCCAAGTCTGGGACAGGCCCACTACGTCACTATCCGTGACTGCTGTGGCTGAAAACATCCTGCTTCTCAGATAACTGGGCATTCAAGTACAACAATGAAATGCAGTAGGAAAGTTCCTGGCATCCACCTCTCACTGGGCCAGCCTATCCCCGTCACCCAGGGTTCCAAAGACAGGAACCATCTTTCCCTCCTCTTGTATCCTGGAGCCCACTCCCTCCTGCCTTCCAGGAATCATCCACCACTATCTCCCAGCCAGGTTAGGGGTATTCCTGGGAGAAAACTGTCCAAGGGGTAGGTGGGTACAAACAGCCTCAAGAGAATCCACTTCTAGGTGGTCAGTGTCCAAGTGCATTCTCTCCTAAAATGAAGCTGCCTGACCGTCTCAAGAGGTCAGAAGTCGTGCAGGCCTCCCCTTCCCTTTCCCTTCTCACGGCTGCTCCCCCGGGGGCAGAAGGCTGAGTCTCAGCTCTCCTCTTACCACGATGCACTGCCCCAAGGCACAAACATCCCAGAGGACAAAGGTCACAGGAAAGCCCTTTGAAGGGAGGCACAGGGCAGGGTTGTGCTTTCCCTATCCTACACCCAGTTCTGTTAAGGGCAAAGTAGGGTGTTATAAATACATAAGATATCCCAGTTCATACTGGAATGTCTTAAATTCAGACACATCGTAGAGTCTGATGGCAGGGATGATTAAAATTTCATTTAGCAACTTCAATCCCTAGACTACTGTAAAATAACACATTATCCCCATGAGAAGCAAGCAAACAGGGAGCCAATAAGCCACAGGCATGGTACCTTCTTCCACCCAGGTGACTGGCTCCATGCCTCACTTAACTGCTAGGAATTAAACTCAGAAGAGAGGTGGCTGATGGTACATCTTAGAGATAAGTAAGACTTCTCCTGAGAGTGAGTCTGACTGCTGACTGGGCTGACAATTAGAACTGGTTCTGCCTATTTATGCACTGGGTAGATAGTTCTGATAAATTGAATGAGCCAAATCTATAGCTTCAAGGTTTTAAGGAAATATAAAGCATACATTTTTATATTGGTAAAGGTATGGCAAAATCAGTAATATCACAGAATTCTCAACTCTTACTGAGAATTTCAGATAAAACAAGAGATGCTTCTAAGTGAAGACAGGTATGACTAATGGCCACCTGACAGGTCTTGGGAAAGTGGTTTTGGTGACTGTCTCAGAAACCGTGATGCTAAGGGACGCTGATGACTGTGTTTGGAAAGTCTTCTCCAAGTCAGGTGGGTTCCAATTCTCTGCTTTCAACAAAATGGAAGAAGGACCCTAATCTAGTAATCAGCAAAAAGATCAACAAAATATCTTATATGATATTTTTGGCCTCTAACTTTGAAGTCCAAGGATGGAATGTCATAGCTATAACAAAATACCTTCCAGGCCTGTCTGAACAAGCAGTCCTCAGTGTTTACATCTACAGAAACAAAGAAAACTGATACTGAACCCTTCTTTCTGGCATAAAGTCATTCACAAATACATCAACTAAATCAGAGAAAAATGCTAATAGTAATAACTCCATCATTCTCAGATGCATTTCAGATGAAGTGCTATGTTGTGTTTAATAGCCATCAAAGCTTGCAACATATTGTGTAAAGTCATTATTCATTCAACAAATATTTGACGAGTGCTTATGATGTGTTTTAGGCACTGGTGACACATCAGCAAGAGACCTTTCCTGCCCTGACAAAGCTTACATTCTAGTGGAAGAGGGACAAAATAAATAAGGAAATCATATAATAGAAGATGAAAGAGCTAAGGGAGTAGGAGCTGCGATTTTAAATAGGGTGGCTGGAGAGAGCAAAGGCCTGAAAAAAGGCCACTGGGGTGAAGAGCACTCCAGACAGGGGAGCTGGGTGAGGCCCATGAGAGAGCCTGGTATGTTCAGGGAAGACTCCAGAGGCTGGAGGCGAGGCAGGGGAGGGAGGAGCTGAGGCTGAAGAGGCCACCATGAGAGCGCTAGCTTTTATGCAGTGAGACAGGGAGCCATGAGAGGGGTCTGAGCAGAGGAGGGAGAGGCTGGAGGCCCTGTGGAGGCTATCTCTTACAGTAACCCCGGTGAAATGTTAAGCTGTTAGGACCAGGGTGGAAGCAGTGAAGTGGGAATACTCTGATGGGAGCACCACCAGCGTTTGCTGGCAGATTAGGCGAGGGGTGGGGAAGAAGGAGCCACAGAAGAGCTGAGTTCTCTGACCCTGCAATGCAAAGGGCAGGGCTGCCACCAGGAAGATAAGAAGGCTGTGAGGGGCACCACCGCACAAAGTTCCATGTCAGACGGCGAATCTGAGGTTTCACGTCAACATTCAAGCAGAGGTGCCAATCAGCAGCCAACAGACCATTCTGGAGTGTGGGGGAGGTTGGGGCTGGATGAGGGTAGTTTGGGAGCTGTTCAGTAGACGGAAGCACTCAGATTTCATGAGCTGACTATGGAGGTCCAAGGACAGGACAGAGTCCGAAGGGGCCCCACCTAGAGGGTCAGGAGAGGAGCCAGGAGGGGCAGCCGACACCAATGGA